CTTGTAAGGGATTTGAATTTCAATTCAAAGAATCATTATTTTACTAAAGTGGTTTAAATACCTGCATAAAAGTTATCCAAAATTTTGCTCAGGGCAACCGGTTTCAATCCACAAAAGGGATCTTCATCAGGCCGATCAGGATGTCAAAACATTTTTTATCTTCTTGCGAAGGTCGTCAAAAGGCGTAAAAAACATGCACACATAGTCACAAACACGAAACACGGACATTTAACATTAAAGACACGGCCGAAATTATTGCGACGACTCATCCTCTATACCTAGACTATACCTTCGCCGGGGATGAGTCGTCACAATAATTTCGGCCGTGTCTTTAATGTTAAATGTCCGTGTTTCGTGTTTGTGACTATGTGTGCATGTTTTTTACGCCTTTTGACGACCTTCGCAAGAAGTTAAAAAATGTTTTGACATCCTGATCGGCCTGATGAAGGTTCCTTTTGTGGGTTGAAACCGGTTGCCCTGAGCAACATTTTGGATAACTTTTAAGCAGGTATTTAAACTACTTTATTGAAATATTGGTTATCCGGAGGCCAAATCACGATGAAATTATTTTACTGTTTTTCTAGATTCTTGAATAGTTCTTCACCTCCTAAACGTAAACAGTCCCACATTTCAATCATAACTGTGTCATCAGAAGATGAAGTAACGAGTGAGGAATTTACATCAGAATGGGTAAAAAACTTGAATGAAAATCATAATCAAAGTGAAGAAAATGAACACTTAGATGTTATTAATAATCATCAGAAAACAGATGAAGACGGAGAGGAAGATGAACAATTAAACACTACTCAAAACCAATGTGAAGAAAATAAACTCTTGAATGTTACTGAAAGTCATCAGCACGATGAAGAAAGCAGACATGTCGGTGGTAGTGAAAATCATCAGCAGAGCGAAAGGGATGAAACTTTTGTAACTCAAAGTTTTCAGAGCTGTAAAGAAGCTGAAAGTTTGGGTTGTAATGCAAACGTAGTGAAGGAGCAAACTTTTCATCCAATGTGTTCAAGTACCCCTAACACTTCTGTTAGTTTTCACACTACTTTACATTGTCAAACTGACAAATGGAACAACCCGATACAATCAGATCCTTGTACTCTGAATTTAGCAGAAAATACTGGATATGACAAACAGGATGATACGAATAAGTCACATGATGCCTGTTTGGTTGGAGCCTCCCAGGAATCTAAAAGTTATTTTCAAGATCAGTTACGAACAGCCAAAATATCAACGTTTGTACCACCTTCACCTTCAACCTCAACTTATATATATCCTTCAATGCATCTACAAAATGAATCAAGGATATCTGCTTCTCAAAGTTTAGATCCTAGATCTAGATACATTGGATCTTGCAACAACTCAACAAAGAACAATGACAAAAATATGCCATCAAATTTTTATTTTGGTTCTTTATCAGGCCAAAACGTAACCAACCCCCTTGTATCTCCATTTGAGTCCTTCCTACATGATAGTATGAATCAACCAAACACATCTGGTACGTTTAAACTTCCTTCAGCGATTTCATGTGAACAGCAGAGGGGAAATGAGGCCGCCACAACCAACAGGAATGATGAAAAAGAATCAGACAATAGTAATCCTGTAAATGTGTTACAAGACCAATAAAACATTGTTGTGATATATAACAAATTAATTAATGTAAAAATTCACTGTACAAATAAAAACTTTTCTCCAAAAAAAATCCTGTAGGGTTTGTAACCCATTGTGACGATTATTTTTCAAATGTGAATGTGATGTTCAAGTTTGTTGTATTTCATTTTCAGAGGAAAAATCATCAAGTCTCTCTCTACAAACGTTACCTGCCACTGGGAACACCGTGGCGCCTTACATAACAGCTTTTATCTATAGAAAACCATTTTAAAAACCTTTTAATGAACAGTGATCATGTATGCAGGTCTAAGGGGAAAGCAAGGTGTGCATTGTTACGGTAGACAGTTTCTATCTAATTTCTACACTATCTTCCACATCTCTTGCACTGTTACTCATCATCTAGCCATAAAACTGTACTATTTCATTATATTTGAAGTACTAGCTGTTACCCGCGGGCTTCGTCCAGTTGGACTTCATAAGTATTAATGCAACTATTGATTGCTGTACCAGGTTGGGTGGCATTTCAAGTGGTTTTTTCATGGTTACTTCGAAGAACAACATTGGACACAATAAGCTGTCAGGGCAAAGCCATAGGAAAGTATTAAAATAAAAGATAACTATCTCCATTAAGCCTGTGGTTATATTGGCTCTATTCATGAAAAAAATCTGCTCAATTGGTCAAGTAGTTTTTCATGTTATTGACATACTCTACAAACATTCATATCTATAATATTAGTTCCTTTCATCCAAGTCAGTGACTTGATCAGTAATGCACTAAAATAATTAAAACGCTACCCCGTTTCTCAGACAATATTTTCAAAGAAAATAAACACGATACTTTTTTATAAAAAATTGGAAAAAATTAAGTCAATAAGTTGATGAATTATGCACTTAAAAATAAAATTACCCTATTCACACAATACCACAACAATTTAGTATTTTGACAGTTAGTTCTCATTGTGTATCACATCTTTTTGTTGCTGATTTGTTCAAATTATTTGTTATCATAAATTCAAACAAAATGATAATATTGCTGCACCCTGTTGTAACTTTATAATGCTATTGAACCTCATAAAACCGGGTCTCACTTAGGAGAGGTACGATTGAGGCATTAGTTCAAAATTCCTCCGTGAACAGCGCTGTAGTAGAGAGCATTTTGGCAATGAAGGTTTACTAATCGCAAAAATAGTTCTGTTCATAAAATAAAATTATAAATGCCTCAAATTCAATTTTATAATTTTTTTACTATAAAATTACTATCATAACCTAATTGAACTAACCAAACTTGCTGATAATGAAATAATATAACAAAAGTTAATTAATAGAAAAAATAAATCTGTTCATTAAATAAAACTAGAAATTGCTCAATTAAAATTTTATAATGACTTAATAATAAAATTAAACTGTCATAATCGAACCAAACCAACTAAACTGGCTGATGATGAACAAATCTTAGTCAAAAGTATAGTGCCGCCAGCGGGATTCGAACCCGGGACTCTTAGCATATCAGCCCGTCACGCTAACCACTAGACCACCGAGGCAGATGGCTGCAAACTGTATTATTACGGTAATGGTCTTCCCTCAGCTAATGAGAAGCTCACAGCTGTCATCGTAAGCTCATCTATACCTCCCCTGAGTAAATACCCATAAAACCAACATGTTTAATTGAAACAGCTGATAAGATAATTAATTCTTTTAAAAATGAAAAATCCTAAGGTTAACATGGGAAAATCCAGAGCCACTGGGGCAGAGCCCGAAAGTCAGATCACAATAAAAACTACTTAGTTTTCCTATTTAATGCCTAAAAAAAATCAATGTACCAAATGTCAGTCTTCTAGGTAAATGGGAAGTAGGAGAATTATTGATGAGTCAATCAGTGAGGGCTTTGCGTTTTATAGGTATAAGATAATACCATTTGATTACAACTTCAGCTAGAAAAGGCCCACCATTTACAGATAGTTACTCCACAAAATTACTGTTATCCACAGTAAATACATTTAACATATTTTATAGGAATTCTCTTATACCATCTTTTTTTCTAATACACATAACTATTATTATTTGTCAAGGGAATTTCTTTTCGATATCAATGATGCCGAAAACCTAGACGTGTCTGACTTTTTAGAACTTTTTGGTGGTTCAATAAAATTTGTGTATGGTGAATGCCACAAAAACTGACTACATGTGCTTATACGTTAAAATAAAATGTGTATTTATAGCTATATTATTAAATTCAGCTTTTACTACAATTTTGGGCTATAGTTATTTCTATTTGTGCAACTAGTGAGCAAAGTGAGCAATTGCCTCACTCGAGAGAAATCCTTAGGAATGGTTTCTCGAGTGAGGCGATTGCACTTGAGTTGCACATTATATTTTTCCTACAGTTACCATAAAACAAATAAATTGGTAAAGAAACAAGAAACGTGCCTTCACGTTGCAAATGTGGAGTGAGACAAAGTAATTAGAGTGAATATGAGCGAATTGGCCATTTTGCTTTCTCAAATCAGTGAGAGAACATTTACATTGTTAGGTAACTGTAGGAAAAAATATATTTACCTCTAGCTAGTAATACATTATTTAAATAGTTATGGGTATTTATGTGTGTACTGTAAATAGCACTACAAAAATTGTAAAATCCATGCACCAGTACTCATTCCCAGCCATTGTTTGGAAAAACCCATAAGGAAACCAAATTTTAAAGAGAATTAGTAGGCTACTACTGGTACACACAGTATACAGTTCTGCTGGTGGAACTGGTGGTAAGTTGACTAAAGCTAGGTTATTTAGGGTATTTTAATTTTTTATTGTTCATATTTGAGTTGTTTTGTCTCTCGATCACTGAACAAACTATAAAAGGTTTAAAATTACCTGAGTAGGAGGAGGAGGATCACTCTAGCAGTACTCAGTTAACTTTATACGTTTTATAGTTTTTATTGCTGTTTAGTTTAAAATTGTTATTAGTTAAAGGAAAAAAATCAAGCAATAAATACTTTTGAAATTCATAATACTTGTCAAAACAAAACATTTACTCGGCAAACCATAGAAAGTAAAAAATACAAACAAAGGTACTTACGTATTATACGGAGGCCACTTATTTTACAGCGCGCTGCGGCGGTTAGGTTAGGTTGGGTTATCATAAATATGTTTGTAGAACTTTCCTAGTTTCGTTATAAATCGAACTATACGAGATGAGTCATAAAAACTTATGATAACCCAACCTAACCTAACCGCCGCAGCGCGCTGTAAAATAAGTGGCCTCCGTATAATACGTAAGTACCCAAACAAATTACATTAGCCATAATTTAACATTAAAGTGAATGATACTATTTAATATAGGCCTAATTATTTACTAAGCCTTAATTAGTTAGTTAATGTTAACTTAACAACTAAAAAGGAAACATGATTAACAATCAATTAGAGCAATAGTTCAGTACAGTAGGAAATGTGTCAAAAAGTGTGCAACACTTTATAAAATATCTTTTTTTTTAAGACATTCAAATGATGTCAAATATTATAGGGAACTAAACTAACTAAATAACGTTCCTAGCTGTTATCTTATGAGGCAGGAACATGTCGGTGAGAAAAGTTTGAGAGCAGGCTGTAAGGTTTTCTATCTCACTCTTTCTGCCATTTTCCAACAACCAGTTAACCTATAACAGGAAAAAGAAAAAAATGCATCAACAATTAATTAATACTTTACAAGTGGTTTGGTTTTATATTTTAAATAATTTAGTTCACTGCTCACAACTGTTCCGACAAAAGAAGCTGTTATGCATACAAGTGGGGCCACACTCCTGTGTTATAAAGACCATTTAATACAATCTTAACATTCTTAACATCCTGCCTATCACCGATGGATTTTATCCAAGTAGTATTGTTGCCACTCTCTAGGCCTAGCCTAAAATAATGTGAAAATGGTTCTAGTCTAGAGCTGAGCTCCCTGGGACCATGAACAAAAATTCTCAATAAATATTGGGGCTGTTAAAACTTGTCTTAAAATTAAGGACTCACAATCCTTATTGATTATCAACTTTAAAAAAACCTTCATTCGTGTGTAAATTAATTCTCCTACCTTTATGTTACTTGTAATCTGTATGATTGAAGCCTCTTATAACAGGGGTAGGTTATTTAAATTTAACAATATGCTCAACCGTCTACCTAAGAAACTATTTTTAATGCAAAATATGTTTTAATTTTAAAGTTCAAACAAAAGTACCAGATGAGTACTTCAAGAGACCCATACGACCACTTCAAGGCTTGCCTTGAACAAGGCCTTCTACATGTAAAAAGAAAGTTAATCTGTACTAGAAAGAGAAGGGATGTCTGTGGTTTCCGACCGACTGACTTCCTCTGAACCCACGAGACTCTAGCCTTGCTACGTGATCCAGAACGGAACAAGACACCACCCAGAACGACTCTACTGCCACTGACACCACATACAGTGGCACACCCAGAGGACATGAGTTGAATGTTCGAGATGGTTTTCAATTTACTGCAGTATGAGATACCTAGATCCCACCTGTTCTAAGAGCTGTTCGTCTTGTACGATGTACGGTCGACGGCTGAGCTCCCTGGCTTTGGCAAAGTCCAGGCTCGTTAGAGGCACAGTTGGTATTGCCAAGCGTTGAATATCAGTTGGATGAAGTCCGACCCAACGCAGTTCTGGTGCAGCTAGCTCTGCCGAGTGTTGGATCATGGTCTGATAAATGAACAAAATTGAAATTGAGAACTGTATACCACTGTATTGTAATAAGTTTTGCATTTGACTTTTAGTTATTTGAATAAAACCTGAAGAATTTGTGCACTATAACATAATATTGACCATTTCATAAAATACTAATGGGGATAACACACAAAAAATTGAATTGAACAGCCAAAAGTGGTTTATTGAAATTTTGGCTCATTAAACTTGGAAACTAGAGCATGAAGCTTCACCTTAGATGCTAGCTTCTAAGCAGCTAGGCAAAACAAAGGTGCCTGTTAAAAGTTACTCCAACTGCTTGCTTATTTTAATTTTATGTTAGTTATAAGGAAATACGATCCTTCCTCATTTTTCACTTCTTATTTTTCTATTTAATGTTTTTGGGTGTGTTGGTTGAAAAAAAAAACAATTAAAACAGTTGTATCAAATCAAATCAAATCAAAAGATCTTTATTCATATTTGTAAATACATGTTTACATGAATAGTGTCAAACAATTAACATAAAAATAATTACATGAATAGGTAGGCTACAATCAAAATTATTAGTAGGACAGTATTGATCACACTACTCCAGGTTGCAATGGTTGGTCTGAATTTTAAGATCTATTATCTATACTTATAAAAGGCAAAGCCCTCACTGACTCACTGACACACTCATCACTAATTCTCCCACTTCCCATTTACCTAGGAGGCTGAAATTTGGTACATTGATTCTTTAGGCATTAAATAGGAAAACTAAGTTGTTTTTATTCTGATCGGACTCTCGGGCTCCGCCCCAGTGGCTCTGAAGTTTCCCATGTTAGCCTTATGATTTTTCATATTTAAAAGGAATAAATGAATCTTAACAGCTGTTTCAATTATACAAGTTGGTTCTGTTCTATGATGTTCAATAGCATTAAAGTTACAAGGATTACTAACAGGGTGCAGCACTATTATTTATTTTAATTTATGACAACAGCTAATTTGCAACCAAAAGGTGAGTGAGCGTAGCGAACGAACTTCAACCTGGAGACGAGTTAGCGTAGCGAACGAGCTAACCTGAAGGCAAGTGAGCGCAGCAAACGAGCTCCAACCTAAAGGTGAGTGAGCGTAGCGAACGAACTTCAACCAGGACGTGATTGAGCCATGCGAACGAGATCATCTTGAAAATTAAGAAGTTAAACGGGGCAAAGCCCGCGGGTACAGCTAGTCTGTTCTAAACTTAAAAAGTCATCAAATGAATAAAGTGCCCTCTGTATCAAAAATTCTTTCAATTTCACTTTGAAACCTGTATCATCCTGCATGCTTCTTATGTGATCTGGTATGTGATTTAGGAATCTGATACCGTTGTATGAAGTTTTTCTTTTGAACAATTCTAATTTATGATTTGGTAATACTACTTTATTTTTATTCCTAGTGTTATAGCTGTGGATATCTTTATTTGTAATAAAACTATTTATATTATTTTTTACAAACATTATGCATTCTAAAATGTATAAGCTGTAAACAGTCAAAATTTCAAATTTAGTAAAGAAAGTTTTGACAGATTCATTGTTCTTAAAGTTTAATATGGCCCTTAATGCTCTTTTCTGTCCAATTAGTATATTTGTCAAATTTTGAGCAGATGTTCCACCGTAGACACAGATCCCATAAGAAACATGGGATTGAACATTGGCAAAATAAACACTTTTTAATACATTCGTATCGCAGAGATAATACAGTCTTCTGATGGCATAGATTCCTAAGTTAATTTTCTTTAAGACATTATCCACGTGCAGATCCCAACTTAGATTTCTATCAATGATAAGGCCAAGAAATTTAGTATTTTCAACTTGCATAATTTCTTCACTATCTATGTAAATATTTATTTCCTCTTTAATTTGTCTTTGTTTAGTGCAAAATGATATGCAGTTAGTCTTTTGAGTGTTCAAATTTAAATCGTGAGTAATAAAGAAATCTTTAATTTTTGCTAACTCCACAAAGGAGTGAATTTCTAATTCTATACCAGTTTTTGCAGACATTATAAGGTTTGAATCATCGGCGTACAAACAGAGCTGATTTTTGATAGAGTTTAATTTACTTAGGCAATTCAGCATATCACTTATGTAGCAGATAAATAATAATGGTCCAAGTATTGACCCTTGGGGTACTCCATATTTAACTTTTTCTGATGTAGACTGAAATTTAATGACTTGATTTTTCTCAGTTCTTGATACTTCTACATATTGTTCTCTATCAGTTAGGTATGATTCAAACCATTTTAAATATGAATTCCTGATTCCTAGACTATTAAGTTTGTCAATCATTTTTGGGTGGGAAATACTGTCAAACGCTTTGGATAAGTCCATAAAAATTCCGGTGACTTTCTCTTGCTTATCTAACGATTCTATGATTGATTCAACAAAACTTATTAAAGCAGTGGTAGTGGATTTATTTTTCCGAAAGCCATGTTGTTCGTGATTAAAAAGATCATATTGTTGTACCTATACAGACATACGTCATTAGAATTATAAATTTTGCTCACATAACAAAGTCCACTACAATATTATTATTTTAACAGAAGTTAAATAGACTGCAAAACAATATGTTTTAGAGAGATGGCATTAACCAAAGATTACTCTTAGAGTATACTAATAATTTTTCCCGAGCAAAGCTAGGTCCCCAGGTACTACTTCATAAAATAATCCTTGAATGTTTCATACACAATAATAACAACAATATTTATTTATTGTTTCAATATATAACTTTGAGAAAAATATAGAATATATTTGAATAACATTATTTTTTGTTCTTTGTCATATTACATATAGGCTACAAAGAAAAACAATCCATACAGGGTTTGCCTGCTTCTCAATACTGCAAAATGCAAACTGGTAGACTTTAGAAATCCCAATTCATTATATTATGGGTTTGTAAAATAGACATTTCATTTCAGACAGTCCACTTGCTTTGACTAAAGGTAGAACTAGACATTCCAATCCCTTCCTCAAGTTGTAGCCAGTTTTAGACCAACAATGGAGGTAGTTGAGTTGAGCCACAAACAACGCACACAGACGTAAACTACTGATTTAAATCATGTTAGCATTACAACCAAACCAAACTGAAAGGACAACTTGCTGTAAACAGTATAAATTAATGTGTGTTTTATGTCACACAAACTATCATGGTACAGTAACAACAACTTATTGATACAGTAATATGATTTCAGGGTGTAGCGCAATAATTCAGTGGCTCATTCAACTATCTTCTATTTGCATTTTTTAAATGTCTAAGCCTACAGCTATAAGTTAATAATTAGTTGTTGCCAACTTACCAATGATCCAAAACGGTAGGTGCACATGATCTCAATACCGTAAGGGTCTGCATCTACCAAAATCAACCCTGGGATTGCCAGTTCCCGACTGAGTCGGCAGACAAACAATCTTGTGTTGATATCAGGCTCTCCTTTGCCCTGGGGTTTAACATTTGATAGTAAAATTTGTGTTTTTTCTTATTCAAATAAAAAAAAATTAAGGAGGAAGGAGATCAATATACCCTAAATAAATTATGAAATAATATACCGTAAAACCGTCTTGACCCGGACACCCATGCGTACTGATTTCAAAATCATCACTACAAACACACCTGATGAGATAAACAAACACAAGATTGCGTTGTTAGAATTACCACAACATAACCTAAACAGCTGAGTGGGCATTGTAGGGCTGTTTGTATTATTTCGTTCATCAGTAATAGGTTTACCAACTGCTCACTTTTTGCAAAAGAATAATCTTTGTCTGACTAAGGTCAAAGAAGTCCAGCCACAATATAAGGGTTAACATGCAACAGTTCATAAAATTTTGTATAATTAAATAATATATAAACAGCCTATTACCAGTCAATTAAGCCTATTTCAAACACAAGCTAAAGTAAAAATAATTATATATATCTAAACCAAATCTCAAAAAGTAATTTACCCAAATTAAATTTCATATAATATTAATTGGCCTGAGTGACTAAAAGTGAACTTCAAGATCTAGAAAACCTTGAAGACCTAGAAGACATTGTTGCTGAAAAACATGTGTTAGGTAACAACTGGATTTCCTTCTTCTACCATGAACTAGCCTGATGAAAGTGTAAAAACTAGTTTGTATGATTTTTATATTATAATATTTTCTAGTAAAAAGTGAAAAGCTAAACCAATAGTCTAATTATTTCAAATAGTTTAAACAAGAAGAAATGTGGAAACTTGGAAGAAATTTGGTAATCTCCATCTTATTATTACAGACAATTCTATTTAAGTGTTGGACAATTTGAGAACATTAGCCTAATTCTGAGGTGGATCGAGTAGCCTCCTAGCTGTTAAAATTTATATTCTTGATTCAAGTAAAGACTTTTGTTTTAGAACAATCTTATCCAAATTCGATAGAAAATTATTTAGTAAAAAAACAAATCAAAGGCTAACTTTATTATCATAAAAAAAGTTTCAAATTAAAATAGGCTATTAGCAAGGAAATTGGTAATAAAAGAGAGTTCCAAGCACGAACCTAAAAACCCTGAGGTTGCAATTGGCGCCGCAACGAGTGAGGCTCTCTTATCAACCAAACCTTGCTAATAATACAAGTAGGCCTAGCTCATGTGTTTGAAATAGCGATTTTTAGGTTAAACTAAGAATAGCCTATAAGAGTGTTGTACTATTATTAAGGTATCTAAGTTAAGATTCCCCACCTGTTTCCCCTTTCATAATTATAGCCTATCAGTAACCTGTTAGTTAAAGATATCCAAGATGACGAGTCAATACAATTTACGCCCAAACCCTAAACTCTCTAGGAAACTTGTCGAAAATAGCGGGGATAGTGACGATAATAATCAAGACGACAACAACATTGAAATTCACACAAACACTAACACCAGCGATATTAGTGAAGATGAATCATGCACACTAACAGCGAGAAGCCCTGAAACATTATCACAACAAACACACTCAGAAGCAGAAAACAAATCCTTCGACGAGCAATCATTCCACGATTCCGAGTCATCGCGATCGGAAATTGTAGCCGTAGCCGCAAAGCAAACAAATTTTACCGACCAACACCAAACCAACGTCCCGGTGAACGATGAACAAGGAATGATGGGAATGAATATGACAGCTGATAGGCCTACGTTCCTTACGACGGCAACAGAAACACAACAGCCAATCACAACACAGTTTCATGACGATCAATCACAGCGAGCTTCTCAACATGCTACAACAAGCACCGTCACTCAACTATCCGACCCGAAACCCGACTTTATGACCCAAATTCAAACGCTATTCCAATCTTTGGATAATAAAATGATATCGTTGGAAACCAGCATTAAAGATGAAATAAAGACCCACTATAAAATCCTTGATACCAAAATTGAATCTATCACTGAATCACAAAATAAACTACAATTGGAATTAAACTATGTGAAGGAAAATCAACAAAAACAATCAGAGAAAATGAAATCAATTGAATCTAAATTAGTTACCCAAATTGCCGAAAGCTCCTATAATCTAAAAATGGACCTGATAGCAGATCTAAATGCCCATAAAACTGAAGTAAATGGCTTAGTCCATACCCAAAATAAAATTATTAGGGAAGAGATGAGCCAGACTATGAATACTAATTTAAATAATATTCAAAGTCAAATTCAGGAAACATATGAAACACAACATAAACAACTCAGACACACAGTAAGTGAAAATACCCAACGGATTCAAGAACAACTAGAACCACAGATTAAAGCAAATCAAGACAGAGTTGAACAAAACATTGAATTAATAGAAAACATGAAAACAACACTAAGTGAACATCATAACAAGATTGAATCTCTACAAAACGAAGCCACTGTTAAGCAGAGTATATTCACCCCTAACATTTATGTATCTTGTGGTAGCGGAACTAATGTTGACTCAGACGTACCTAAATTCACTGGACGAGCACACAACCCCAAAGAGTTCTTAAACAAACTACAAAAATATTACTGTCGCAATTTGGTTCGCCAGAGTCCCACAACCGACCCTAAAGAATTCCTAATCGATACGATAGAGATGAGTTTAGAAGGGAGCGCTTCACGATGGTTTTCTCTTATCAAAAGTAATATTAATACATGGGATGAGTTTGAGAGCATGTTTCTCATGAAATTTTGGAGCCAATCAGTACAGCGTGGAATTCGACATAGATTGGAAAACGAGAGGTACCGTCCTGGAGGAAAACTGACCCGCTCAGAATACTTCATAGAGAGAGTCATAACGATGAAATCAATGTCCCCACCTTTGACCGATGAAGAAATTATTACATTGTTAAGCGATCACTTCAGTGAACTAATACAAGATGCCCGCATAGTACAGAATGCCAACACAATATTTGCATTTGAATCGATCCTCCAGCGTGAAGATATAAAAGACGGAAATCGCCGGAATAAACAAAACCATCCCCCATCACACAATACACCAGCGACAAACCGAAATGAACCAAGGCCCAACTATAACACACAACCACAAAACAGATATCCTGACCGCTCTAATAACATCAACCAAAATGCATACCAACCAAGATATGACATGAAGTATCAACAAAACAATCGACCATACAACCACAACCAACAATACAACAACCGGCCAAACCAACAAAACTGGTTCCCTTACCCACAAGGCAGATTTCCACAAAATTCAAATAATTATCCCAGTAGGAACGGAAACCGAACTGAACCCAATTATATGACCCCAGAACAACGACAAGTCTGTACCTCCATAATCGATAAAACCGACCAACCACATAAGTCGGATTTAAACTAAAGAGCACTGAGAGCAAAAATGGCCTACACACTAGTTCCCCTCAAAATAATATTCCCTCAATTGTCTCTTCAGTGCAAGAAAATCCCCTCGGAAAAATAAGGCCAAATGTATATAATGAATTAAATAATTGTTATGAAACTGATGTTATCTGTTGTGACAGAGAATTTTTATTAAGTGAAGAAGATGAATCAATTAATGATTCCCACGAGATTAAACAAATTGATTTTCCAGAAATTAGTGTTAAAATTAATAAATCGAAGATAAATGCCCTAATTGACACCGGCTCTAATGTAACATGTATATCGGAAAAATGGTTCCTAGAAAATAAGCACCACATAGGTCATTTTGAAGAATTGCCAATTACAAATACACATATTAAAACCGCTACAGGAGATCGATCTAAGCGCATAACTAAAATCATAATGTTACCTGTAATGATAGAAAATGAAGAAACTCAACTACAAGTTTTACTCATACCAAACTTAGTTAGGAATTTAATAATTGGGAATGATGTATTAAATATATGGCAGTTTGAGATGAATTTTAAAGAAAAAGTTATTAAATTGAAGATTAATAATAATAATATTACTTTGAAGTTCGGAGAGGTATCTGTTGAAGGTATAAATTGCAATTTTGTATTTGAGCAAAGCCCAAGGCGAAGCATTGAGAACGAAAATAATGATGATAAATATTATGAAGATAATTATGATAGTATTAATAATGATATAAAAACAAACTATTACAATCCTAACTTAAATATGAGTAAAAATACAGGAAGTCTACGAAGGCGCATTCAAGATCAGTACAATTTTATGACATTCAACTTATAATGTAAACACTCTAGATGACAAGAAGACATTTGGACCATACCACATTTCAGCACTAAAAAAGATATATTCCTCCTCAACCGAAGATACAAGTTTAATAATCAAAAGTATGTGTATGAAGAATAATAGTGTATTTGAAGAAAATTTTAAATTGAAGAAACATAAATGAAAAGTATGTGTAGAGAGACCATAAACCCATGTAAATAGTTAAATGTAAATAAAATAGACACTCCACAAAGTGAATTATATACCAGAAGAAATATGTAAATTAAAAACAAAAAATAGACGCTCTGCAGTGTAATGAAATATTAACTTAATTAAGAAAAGTGTGAAGTGAGAAAAGACGTTAAGGAACAATTACTCATATGAACTATAATAATAGTGATGAGAAATTCATATTCCCCATTGTTCCCAATATATAAACAATAGTACTTCCTTTTCCTTTCTCCTATCTTTAATGTTATTAATTGTTATAATTTTGTTGTTATATTGTTCATGATTCAATAATTGTGTTGATTAAGTATTTGTATTTCAATAACCATGTTCTACCCATCGTTCTTCATTAATAGTTAAGTCTTCTTTTATTAAATGTTCACATTTCAAATCAAAATTTAGTTCACTGTGTATCGAAACCTCATATTACATGTAATATTCAGTTTCTGCGGGGATATTGCAACAGTTCATAAAATTTTGTATAATTAAATAATATATAAACAGCCTATTACCAGTCAATTAAGCCTATTTCAAACACAAGCTAAAGTAAAAATAATTATATATATCTAAACCAAATCTCAAAAAGTAATTTACCCAAATTAAATTTCATATAATATTAATTGGCCTGAGTGACTAAAAGTGAACTTCAAGATCTAGAAAACCTTGAAGACCTAGAAGACATTGTTGCTGAAAAACATGTGTTAGGTAACAACTGGATTTCCTTCTTCTACCATGAACTAGCCTGATGAAAGTGTAAAAACTAGTTTGTATGATTTTTATATTATAATATTTTCTAGTAAAAAGTGAAAAGCTAAACCAATAGTCTAATTATTTCAAATAGTTTAAACAAGAAGAAATGTGGAAACTTGGAAGAAATTTGGTAATCTCCATCTTATTATTACAGACAATTCTATTTAAGTGTTGGACAATTTGAGAACATTAGCCTAATTCTGAGGTGGATCGAGTAGCCTCCTAGCTGTTAAAATTTATATTCTTGATTCAAGTAAAGACTTTTGTTTTAGAACAATCTTATCCAAATTCGATAGAAAATTATTTAGTAAAAAAACAAATCAAAGGCTAACTTTATTATCATAAAAAAAGTTTCAAATTAAAATAGGCTATTAGCAAGGAAATTGGTAATAAAAGAGAGTTCCAAGCACGAACCTAAAAACCCTGAGGTTGCAAACAACCCTAAACCATCGACCAGTGACCAACGTACCAGTACTGCAAAGGATATTGAACCGGTAAAAATTTATTTAATTATTGCATCTTATGTGATTGCAGCCATAACACCTAAATATTTTGCCATCGCAGCTACGCAAACGTCAATTGTGATCGTGACCATTTCAGTGTCTGTACATTATAATTATTATACCAGCTTATTTAAATTTCCAGCTAATCTGAACAGGGTTCAGTCCCACTTAGTTTGGAATAGCGAGTCTCTACGGTCAAAGTGAAAAAAGTCAAACGGGTCCTGAAAAAATTCCTCTCAAGACCAAAGACATTTTAGCCCTTTATACTTCCAGTGAAGAATAGGAGATAACATTAAAAGTTAATCAATACTATTGAAGGAGATATTTTAAAATAAATTACTTACTGTGATAATAATGCAGGGTCCTAACCTCACATGAGCACCATCATCCAACAGCTTTTGAAATGCAGCATCTTTTTCAACGATAAGAATGAATTTGGCAGAGGATTTAATCTTTAATATTCCATTCACGTCTTGTGGCACCAATACTCCTAGGAAACAATTAGGTTATAATGTTAGAAAATGAAACAACTGTAAAATATTACCAACTATATCTCTGATATATAGGCCAAAGCATTGAATGTTTGAATGTAGTATAACTTACTACAGCTTATGGGTAGCCTCTGCTGGAGTGCTGGTACTGAATGTGTGTGAAGATTTAAACTTGTGTCTGTCTACGCTCCTTATAATTTCATTAATTACTAACTTTCCGTGTCCGGAAATCAGACTTCTCTTTTCAAAAAATTAGCTACCGATATGGCTTTGTCATTTGCTTGTAAAATATCATCTAATGTGCAAGTCTGGTATAGGCGTGGACAGATCAGCAGATGGCCAGAGCCTGAACAGCACCACACGCACACAAGATGTTTTCTTAGTCTGGTAAGAGAACCCCATTTCTGCATGTTTGTCTTGCATTTTGGTACATCGACCCTGATTCGATTTAGGGTCTTCTACAACGTGTAATGCAGGCCTCCTCCAGGAGCCAGTTCCTCCCTGGCTGGTATGGGAGGGTTAGTCAACGTGGCCTCCCACCTTGCCACCCGATTGCTTGAGAGTGATCCATCCAGGACACGTATCCGTAGTAAAAAGCTCTTTCTGGACCGAAGCCGTCGCACTGCAGGTTGGTGGCCGTGTAGTGGATGACGAGGGTCGTCTCTTGCTTAGCCCTTTCTGCGTCGGCAGCGACATCACGTCGGATTGATGGAGGGGCGATACCTATGATATGATAGAGTTTGTGTATTGGGGTTGGTTTCAAACACCCAGTTACAATCCGAGCCATGTCATTGACTCCAAAGTCAACCCTTTTTGCATGTGACGATGCATTCCATACTGCTCCAACGTACTCCACAGCCGACTAACTGAGCGCTAAAGCTGAGGTTCTGAGGACATTAGGATTAGCATTCTGATTTGTTTCACAGCCTTGGCTAAAAATTTTAAAGTAGCTAGCTTGCAATTCCATCAGTACGTAGTAAACTGTTCAAGCTGAAGTGATTTTACAAAATTCATACATTTAGTTTTATATAAGCTAAATTAGAAAGCTATGTAAAACAGATTTCCATGGAAAAATATTTATTTGTTTTAGACCAAAATGTAAACTTTACTTTTATTTTATATTGCCCGTTGCCCGTACAAAATTGAGGAATGGATAGCCAGTGTCCGTAACTTATCAGGGGGGGTTTGGGGGGGTCACTTTTAGAGGATATTTTGATAAACTGATACAATTTATATGGATAATATTAACAACTCCAAATCCTTCCAAATGGTTTGCACCCCCTTCCTTATCAGTGGCCAATCATGCCACTGCACTCTAGTGATGTGACGAGTCGAGTCCAATGAAGTATCGAGTCAACTCGATACCAAATTGGCGATACTCGAGTACTATTACTCGTGAACTAAAGCTTACTAGAACTGCCGCTACGAGTACATAGCGCTTGAGTAAATGGCTTACTTGAGTCAAGATACAGTTTGTTATTAATCTCTTTCGTTAATACAACAATGTTTTATAATAACCAATAAAATCCATGATTAAATATGAACTCAATGTGAGATGAATAACCAATCTCGCTCTCATCTCTTAAATCTACACGGACAGACAGAGTAAAACGATTTCGACCCAAGTATGTCTGACTTCTGCCTTGAGTAAAGGAACTCGAGTCAAGACAAGATTCATTTCCAGAATTTGCAGCTACGAGTCAACAGAGGGTGCTATACAGGTCGGAATCGAGTCCAGTACTCGAGTACTGACTCGAGTAGTTACGGTATCGAGTCAAATTGACTCAAGTTGGGAAAGTACTCGACTCGTCACATCACTACTGCACTCAACCAAGTGGTATAAAGACAATTGTTATGCTCATACAGTGTTTATACAATGAAATATAAACCAACGTAGGGCTAATCTAATACCTTACATGAACTGGGTCGTTTAACTAAAGTTAATAACATTTTACACATGATAGTACCTCCAGGTTTAGAGAAGTCTATGACCTCTCTATCAGCAGTAACGATTGTTAGGTTGCCAGCCACAAGTCCCTTGGAGGTTGACAATACTCGCAGCTCCCACAAAGAAGCTTGCAGTAGATCACATATGTCCAGCACTGCTGTGTTTACAGTTGTCTGGCTGCCAAACAGCTCTGTCCTCTCATAGTACAACTCTCTACACACAAATCCATCATATTAACAGAGTAAAAAAATGTAGCAGATCACATATGTCCAGCACTGCTGTGTTGACTGATGTCTGGCTGCCAAACAGCTCTGTCCTCTCATAGTACAACTCTCTACACACAAATCCATCATATTAACAGAGTAAAAACATGTAGCAGATCACATATGTCCAGCACTGCTGTGTTGACTGATGTCTGGCTGCCAAACATCTCTGTCCTCTCATAGTACAACTCTCTACACACAAATCCATCATATTAACACAGTCAAGCATGTAGCAGATCACATATGTCCAGGACTGCTGTGTTGACTGATGTCTGGCTGCCAAACATCTCTGTCCTCTCATAGTACAACTCTCTACACACAAATCCATCATATTAACAGAGTAAAAACATGTAGCAGATCACATATGTCCAGCACTGCTGTGTTGACTGATGTCTGGCTGCCAAACATCTCTGTCCTCTCATAGTACAACTCTCTACACACAAATCCATCATATTAACACAGTAAAAACATGTAGCAGATCACATATGTCCAGCACTGCTGTGTTGACTGATGTCTAGCTGCCAAACATCTCTGTCCTCTCATAGTACAACTCTCTACACACAAATCCATCATATTAACACAGTAAAAACATGTAGCAGATCACATATGTCCAGCACTGCTGTGTTGACTGATGTCTGGCTGCCAAACAGCTCTGTCCTCTCATAGTACAACTCTCTACACACAAATCCATCATATTAACACAGTAAAAACATGTAGCAGATCACATATGTCCAGCACTGCTGTGTTGACTGATGTCTGGCTGCCAAACAGCTCTGTCCTCTCATAGTACAACTCTCTACACACAAATCCATCATATTAACACAGTAAAAACATGTAGCAGATCACATATGTCCAGCACTACTGTGTTGACTGATGTCTAGCTGCCAAACATCTCTGTCCTCTCATAGTACAACTCTCTACACACAAATCCATCATATTAACACAGTAAAGCCTGTAGCAGATCACATATATGTCCAGCATTGCTGTGTTGACTGATGTCTGGCTGCCAAACAGCTCTGTTCTCACCATTGGCGTCGTCAGCATCAAAAGATTGAGGGGGACAAATGTAGGAAGGGGGGTCTACCGGGGGGCTTGGGGGTGTGGAGCACCCCCCAACAAGGCGGGGGGTCCCGGAAAAATTTGTAATTTTCAAAGCAGTTTGGTGACTTTCTAAAGCCATTTTTAACACCAAAAACTGTGCCCAATTGTCCATAAACTCCCATTTCACCTGTTGTTTGTCATGAGCAAATAGACAGTTTAAAAATTAAACTATGACGATTGCATTAATGAGTTTAAAAACTTGCTGCAGACTACAGCCATATCCTCCTAAAAGCCGTTTGATGACTTTATACAGCCAGTTTTAACGTCTAGAACTGTGTGCAAAACCTTCCATTTCTCCCTTTATTTGTCATGAATAAGTAGACATTTTTAAAACTAACTAAGACGATCACACTCATTCATAAATCTCAAAAAATATTGTAGGCTACCGCCGTTCTCACAAAAGCTGTTTACTGACTTTCTAAAGCCATTATTAATGTCTATATATCTGTGTCCAACTGTCCAAAAACCTCCCGTTTCACCTGTTATTTGTCTTTGTCATGAGCAAGTAGACATTTTAAAAATCAAACTATGACGAACTTGCATTCATGAATTTCAAAACATAGGCCTACTGTAGACTACGAAGCCATATCTTCCAAAAGCCGTATGGTGACACTATAAAGCCATTTCTAACGGCTATAACTGTGCCCAATTGTCCTAAAACCTTCCATTTCACCTGTTATATGCCATGCAAGCAAGTAGATATGTTTTTTTTTTTTAACCTTACGTTTTTCTCTATTTCTTAGATCTATCACAACATGTATAGTATCGAATTCAATGACGTTTGAACACTAATATTTAAACCCACAATCTTACATTTTTACAAGCAGGTTTTTTATATAAACAATTTGTTTTGGCCTTTTGCTCGCTTCATTTGACAATAAACAGTTCAAGGTTCAAGTATCAATTCTTCCTAAAAGTATCAACTAACCTAAAAGAACTATAACCGATACTACCGACAGATACAGCACACGAGGAGAAGAAGGTTAACGTAGGCCTACATCTAAATCACATGTGGTTCATAATACGTGTTCTAAATCATATGTGGTTGATACTACATCTAAATGTAGTATCAACCACGATTACGTATTTTCCTAGTAATCGTGGTATCAACCACTGCCGACTGACGGTGACGGAACGGACTGAAAGTCTGACTGATACGCGACGCGAGAAGACATTAAAGACAAGCGTCTAGGCATCCAGTGCAACTCGAGGATCGTGGATCGGAACACCCCTCCACCACCACACCATTTCGTACGCTTCCAAATCACACAGCGGAGCGAGCACCTTGCTTGCTGGCAGCGATCAATCAGGTGAAGACGCATTTCTGTATGAATTTTAAAATTCCTTTTAAAATTTGGGATGGGAGACAAAACTGACTTTTCAAATATTGAGGGGGATGCGTCCCCCATGTCCCCTATGGAGGCGACGCCCATGGTTCTCACATAGTACAACTCTCTACACACAACTCCATCATATTAACACAGTAAAGCATGTAGCACATCACATATGTTCAGCACTGCTGTGTTGACTGATGTCTGGCTGCCAAACAGCTCTGTTCTCTCATAGTACAACCAGAACTCTCTACACACAATCCATCGTAATATAACACAGTAAAGCTTGTGGCTGATTACAGATATCTACCACTGCTGTGTTGCCAGATGTCTGGCTGCCAGCAAAACATTCCCTGCTGCTTCCCTAGTACGACAATAGCATTGGAAGCTCTTGCAAAATTTAGTTTAGTTGGAACTAGGACAAGATCACCCAAGAGGATTGTAAAACACACAAGAGGTCCTGAAAATGCACAAAGACCATCATCGTCTGACCATTTTTCAAAATTTCTGCTGTTGCACTTCTGTCCACCTAGCAACCTGACGGAGGCACGAGGCACCGAAACAAAGAACTAAGTGGATTGGAGAAGAAGTTCTGAACTGCGCTTCCAAGAGAGTTGGTAGGTGTACTTACTCCCATAAGATGAGATGTGATTAATGTTTTTGCTGGACCAGTGGAAATTGTTTCACGAAACCGCACCGGGCTCTGCTTCTGTCAAGTAAGTGCTACTAGCTTTAAGCTTGCTACAGATCAACGATTACAGAACTCATAAACAAATACTTCATATAAACACACTAAAGCACAGATGTTGTCCATCTATTTTGCCCTTGCATTTGCCCGTCCACATCAGTCACAGCCAGTGTGTGAAACGTATCCAGCAAAGCAAGGAGTGAGGTGGCACAGTACCAGAGTGATCAATACCGATGATGTTTAGTGACGGCCACCATGATCTGAACCCACAACATAACTGTTGTGACTCCTGCCCTAACAACTATTTTTTTTAAAATCCTTTCATTTTTCTTTTTTTATCTTCCTTTATATCCAGAGCCTGTAACATGTAGGTTGGTTAGTTTAGTTAGTTTCTTTAGAATTTTGAAACTTTCTCCTTTACAAAATATCTATTAAAAATGAATTGATGCATTGATTTTATAGATAATAGAAGAACAATTTACTAACATTTGAGCTTTTCCTCTGTAATTTTCTTAACTTACTTGCTGAGATTAGCATAGGGCCTACATACAACATAGGGCATTGCTCATTGCTTAAGGTGAGGATGAGGAAAGGGTGAATAAATAACAAATTATATTAAGTACCAGTAAAGCTTTGTTAATAACTGAGACCAGCAACAATTTTTATTTAAAGCTCAATGATCTGGGACCCCTCGATTCTGTTGGTTTTTCTTTCTATACCAGTGGCATTTTGAATTTTGATTGAAGTCAATGAGAGATTAAACGCTTAAAAAGGAAAGCAGACTGAGCCCATATTGTTTTGTCGATGTGCCGGGATTTGAACCCAACCCCCTTGTACCGAAATAAAACTAGGCCTAAACAAAAATCTATGAGGACGGTCTAATTTGTTTTGATGTTAATTACCGATAACAGTGATAACCTGGGTTAAAGATCAGTAGACCTCAGTGGGTACAGTTTCTAGCTCTTAAAAAGAAAAAAAATTACCTCTTAGTCACCGAACTTCTTGACAAAAGCAAACGATGAATTGAACGCAAGAGGCAGCATATTATCACAAATCTTCTTTCGTGACTTGTAAATTTAATATGTTGACAAGATGTTTCATTCCTTGGTTTTAAAGATAATCTGAAATCAAATAAGTAATGACCAAGAAGTCAAGTAGCTCCTGTCAACTAATAGTTTTAATTGCAACTTTGGGTTTAGTGTTTTAATTGTCACAAGCTTTAAGCCAAGGTATGTACATTCCTCTAAGGCACATAATCAAGTGTCAGACAACACTAGTTAATGTCTTACACACTACCTATAACAATTTAATTTGTCCCACTAAAATAATAGCAGGTATTGGTAGGGTTCCCAGAGACCCTTCATCAAAAAAGAGGACAATTAATTATAACTTGTGTAACTTACCGGGAAGGAGGTAGGCCATCAGAATTTTTTTTAAATAAAGAATTACTCTTATGCTTTTTAAGGGCTTTTAAGAGAAGAGTATTTTGTAGATCCTATTGGCATCCTTGATGACTGTTTAAGACCATGATTAGACCGTTTTAATGAACATCAGAAGCTGTATATATGCATCAGTCTGAAAACTTTGTTGTAAGTTACCAGAAATGAAGACAAAAGGTGTTCATGGCCCTCAGAATCAAGCGTTGGTGCAGTTATTTGTACTGGGTAAAGGGGTAAAGGGTTAGTTAAGGAGTGTTAGTGTTGGAGAAGTAATATTTCTCAACTAGTCTTTATATCATCCCCTGATGATCAAATAAGTGTTTAACTTAAAATTGACTTGTTTACTTATTTGAGTGTTTTTGGTTTGATGTAATTGTTTTAAAAATGTATTAATAATTTTTCCTTGTTCAATATAAAACGTTTCCATGTATTTATGGGCTATTACATTCTGATACATATTTCCAAAGACTGTCCCTATTTAATCCAGCTGATCAGTTAATTATTTGTTGTTGTTTTTATTTATGTTTATGTGAAGTTATTCAGTAATAAATATACACTACACAGTCAACATTATGTGCACAATTTAATTGTATTAAATTAGTCAAAGTACATAATATTGGCGACGAGAAAAACAAAATGACTGAAGAACAGACACGACAGAAACTAATCAAAGCAAGAACGGTGGTCAAAGGCCAATTTACACGAGCAAACAGATTATTAAAAGACAACCCAACGGCGACAGAACTAAATGTAAAGCTCAAAACTGTTACCGAATACTGGACAAAGTACAAACAAATACAAGATGAAATAGATTCATGCACAGATTTGGATGAGCTTAGTAGAGAAATTGAATGCAGATGCAGTATGGAAGATGAATATTTACAGATTAGAACTACACTTCAAGAAATGATGCTAGCTGTTGAACAGAAAAACTCTAACACCTCTTCATCTTCATCACCCAGTACACATTTATGTAACACATCAGGGAGAATTAATTTCACACCATATCACCCCGAAGAAACTATCACAAACTTCATACGAAGACTGGAAGTATTTTTGTATCTAAATAACCAAGAACCTGATAATAAAGGTAAAGTATATACACTACTATACATGCCCTAACACCTCAACTACATCAACAACTCTATGATGTTTGTACTCCTGAGGACCCTTTGGACAAACAATATGATGACTTAGTGCAGCTCTTGAAAGAATTCGTGGATCCTCAGCCAAGCCAATGGGCTTTACAACAGAAATTTATTTCGCGGAATCAAATGGAACATGAAACAGTGAATGAGTTTTCAGTTGCTCTTAAGAAGATGACTGTAAATTGTGAATTTCATTGTTGCTGTGGTAAATCTGTTGCAGATCTATTTCTAAAACTACAGTTTATCCGGGGGTTGAAAGACGTAGACATTCGAACTAAACTATTACAAGATCGTGAAAAACGAATGTATCAAGATTTAGGGAACATTGCTTCAGTAATGGAACTTGCAAAATCAGAAAGTAGGAAGACTGTAAGCCATAATATGTTGGAACAAAGTGAATTGAATCAGATTAAGTATAAAAATAATAACGAAAAAAGTGTTAAGCCAACACAACTAAAATCCTCACCGAACAGCCCTAATTTCAGCCCTAATTTCAAAACAGCTTTTGAAAAGCTCAAAGGAAAATGCTATCGCTGCGGTTCACCATCTCATCGGGCACATGAGTGTCGTTTTCAGGAAGCAACGTGTCGAAGGTGTAACAAAGTGGGACACATTGCAAGTGTAGGGCCTATGCATGCAAACAAAAAGGCAGATGCAAACAAAGTACAGAAATCATCAAACAGAATATGAAACTGAAGAAAGTAGTGAGAATGAGTTTCACATTAATGTTATCAACAGTAGAAGCAATGACAAATTTATCGTAAACATGAAGATTGAGGGCAAAACAGTACCAATGGAACTAGACACGGGTGCAGCCCTCAGCACTATGTCCTACAAAGACTTTAAGAAGTTGTCAATTCCACAAAAGGTAGGCTATTTTCAACCAACGTTGAACTTCGTACATACACAGGGGAAACTATTAAGCCAAGAGGTGTAACGTTTGTGAATTGCATGTACAAAACGCAAAGATTTGTCGGAAAACTATTTTTGATCGAACAAAATGTCGATGCAATATTTGGTAGAGATTGGCTTAGGGAAGTCAAATTAGATTGGGGTGAAATAAAAAGTCTAGAAATGAATCAGACATCAAGTCTAGGAAGCATGTTGAGCGACTTTAGTGATGTATTCGATGGAAAAATTGGAGTCATACCTGATCATTTAGGACAATCAAGGGTCATGGATGACACAAAACCGATATTTGTGAAGCCAAGACAAGTGCCATATTCTCTAAGGAGTGAAATTGAAAAGGAACTCAAGAGACTAGAAGAATGTGGAATAATAACCAAAGTAGATCACTCAGACTGGGGTACCCCCATCGTGCCTGTTGTCAAGCCAAATGGTCAAGTGCGCATTTGTGCTGATTACAAAGTCACAGTGAACAAATTGATCAAGGATGAAAACTATCCTATTCCTAGAATTGAGGACATTTACACCCAAATGAATGGAGGCAAACTATTTTGCACATTGGACATTTCTAATGCCTACCTTCATATGAGGATGGATGAAGAAAGTGCTCATATGCAAACACTTAGCACGCATAAAGGGATGTACAAAGTAAATCGCTTAATGTTTGGAGTCAAAGTAGCACCTTCCCTTTGGCAGCAGTTTATGGACAAAACCTTACAGGGGATTCCTGGTGTACAGTGCTTTTTCGATGACATCATTATTCAAGGTAAGACAGAAGAAGAGCTACTAACCAGACTACGGACTGTACTAGAGCGAATGAGATCCAAAAACTTAAGACTAAACAGAGACAAGTGCAAATTCTTTCAAACAAGTATCCAATATTTGGGATACACCATTGATGCTCAGGGACTACACAAAACAAAGGAAAAAATTTCTGCCATCATGAACAGCAAACAGCCAGAAAATGTAAATGAATTGAGAAAGTTCCTGGGATTGGCTAACTACTATAAATACTATATACTGGCTAATACTATACCTGGCTAATACTATATACTGTTCATTAAAAGTTTGGCCACAATCCTTTACCCACTTAATGAACTGCTACGGAATGGGAAAAAGTATATATGGACAACTAAATGTGAAGAGAGTTTCCAGAAAGTCAAATCAGAGATAACTAGTGACAATGTACTTGTTCACTATGATGCAGATCTTCCCTTAGTACTTGCAACAGACGCGTCACCGGTGGGCCTTGGGGCCATTCTCTCTCACAGATACAGTGATGGAACTGAAAGGCCTATTAGTTTTGCTTCACGTACTCTGACTAAATGTGAACAAAAATACAGTCAGATTGACAAAAAAGCAACAGGTATATACTGGGGCCTCAAAAAGTTTTTCCCCTATTGTTACGGACGTAAGTTCATTCTAGTGACTGATCACAAACCGTTAGTATCAATATTTCATCCAAACAAGACTTTGCCATCAATCTCAGCAACGAGGCTGTTCAATTACGCACACTTCTTATCTGGATTCAACTATCAAATCGAATACAGGAAAACTACAGACCATGCGAATGTTGATTTTTTATCATGATTCCCAACTGAACACACTTCAATCAATCATGTGGATGACTGTAGTCTATATCAAATCAGCCAGCTGGACTCGTTTCTAGTAGACAGTCAAATCATATCTAGAAAAACTGCTGAAGACAAGTTCCTACAATCAGTGCTACGTGCCCTTCAGACAGGGGAGTCTGTTGAACATCTGGGTTTTCATGACAATGAATTGACGCTGCAAGATGGATGTATATTTAAGGGTAATAGGGTAATAATACCAGAAGTTCTTCACCATGCTGTGCTTCAAGAACTACACGTTGGACATCTAGGTATGGATAAAATGAAAGCTCTTGCTAGAAGCTATTGCACATGGAGAAACATCGACAAGGACATTGAACAACTGGTACGCACCTGTAAACAATGCCGCTTGAAACAAAACCAACCTGCTAAAGAACTCAATCATCCATGGCTGACTCCTCAGGGACCTTGGGAAAGAGTACACATAGACTTTGCTGGCCCAATGCAAGAACAATGGTATTTCATTATTGTAGACGCATTTACCAAATGGATTGAAGTGATCCCAACTAAAAACACATCTACAGAATGGTGTATCAGGGAACTTCGGAAAACTTTTGCTACATTCGGTCTACCTTTAGTTCTAGTATCAGACAATGGGAGTCAGTTTACTTCTAGCGCATTCCGACAGTTCTTGTCTGCTAATGGTGTGGTGCACAAAACTACTGCACCGTACCATCCTTCCTCGAACGGGCAAGCCGAACGATATGTTCAAACAATAAAGAAATCATTAAAGGCAATGGAAGAAGAAGGAGGTAAACTAGATCTTAAATTATATAGGCTTCTCATGCAACTTCGTCAATCCCCTAACTCAACCGGGTCAAATGCTTACAGTTTAATGTATGGAAGAGAGATAAGAACGCACTTAGGATTATTGCTTCCTCAATGTAACAAGTCAGCAAGAAGTGCAATGGCTGTGCGCAGACAATTTCAAGTGGGGGACAGTGTACAGGCTAGAGACTACTCAAGTCCTAAACGGAAATGGAGCTTTGGAACTATCATTGGAAGAGAAGGTACCCTCTTATACCAAGTCAAAATGGAAGACGGAACTGTGTGGAGGATGCATATCGATCAGCTTCTAAAATGTGAAATTTAGGCGGGGAGAGTTGATACATATTTCCAAAGACTGTCCCTATTTAATCCAGCTGATCAGTTAATTATTTGTTGTTGTTTTTATTTATGTTTATGTGAAGTTATTCAGTAATAAATATACACTACACAGTCAACATTATGTGCACAATTTAATTGTATTAAATTAGTCAAAGTACCTACATAATACATTCACTTTTAGATACTATAACTTTCTACATTTTGGATTTTCTTAAAAATCGACTGACAATTCCTAAAAACGTATAGCCTATAGGCTATTAAGTTTTAGAAATTTTTTTAAAATATTTGCTTTTAATTTTGATTTAGGCATGCTTATATCACAGACTTACTCTATAATCTGTGCTTGTTAGCTTGTTTCCTAATAAAACGTTGAAATTTAAAGGTTAATTTAACAAAATGCTAGACATTGTAACCATGGTGAAAAAACTTCTTGATTCTATATCCTTCGCAAAGATTATTAATTTTTTCAATTATTCTTATTGTTTAAGGCCTACAACATGTTTTATTGTATAGTATTATAAAATTTGAAGCTATCTATCCGTAACCACGGTCAAAGATAAAGAAGACAAGTATCCAAGTAAGATAATAGACCTAACTTAGCAAATAGCTGTACCTTTCATTGAATTCAGAGTCTTTCCATTGAAATCTCCGGTTCACTTTTATGGATGGTATTTCATCGTTCGCTGCACATTTCACAATTTTCAAAATGAAGTTTTGAATCTTAAGTATTAGCTCCTCTCTGTAAATAACAATCTTATTAAAACTTAACTAATATCCCCATTTTAATTTTAATAAAACACCCACACCGCACCAAACCTACAGACTAAGTGAATATCCATTTGCCTCATCAGATTTACACTAAACTATTTTCTTAAACATTTCAGATGTATCCCATTAAAATTAAATAAAGTTTAACGGATTAAGCTTACGTACGGGATTTTAGAATAAATATTTGCCAAATTTGGTCAAATTATTATATCTGACTTTGGAAAAAGACCCTAATTTTTAAAAGTTAAAAACTTATTGGGTAGGTAATCTTGTTTATCCCGATCCCAATCTGACTCCCATTCAGTGGCCTTTCTAGGACATTGTTAAAGGGGAGCGTAGCTAGCGGGGTTTTCCACACCAGGAGGGGGTGGGGTGAGGGATCCTCTCCCCCAATTTGCTATTTTAGCGAATCTCCCATGATAGGGAATAAGCTATTACCGCAGTACTCATGGTAAGACCTGGACTCGGGACCGACTTACTTTTTTGTTTTGAGGTCACAAGAGGCAAAAAAAAACACCATCCGTTCAAATCAACAATCACATAAGACCAATTTATTGGTATAACAATGCTTATTGGTAAAACTTATTGTTATAACAACCAACTTATTGGGCTTATGTGATTGTTGGTTCAAATTCATATATAGCCTATATGTGTCTTTTAGCACAATAACTCGAGCAAAGATGATCCTATTTTTATAAAATTTGGTACAAACGTGTAAACCTAAATTTATTGGAACGAGTTCACGAACCAGCATGATTGGACTATGGGAACGGGAGTTTATGGGGGGTTTTATGGGGTAAAAAAAACACAAACCATATTGTAGAGCTAAAGAAAAACAAATAATTTAGAATATTGAAGAGTTAAATGCGCCTAATGGTTACGGAGAAAATTCAAAAATATTGTAAATTTAAAATCCCCATGTTATTCTTAAGGAGAATAAGTCAACTGTTGCAGTTTGCTTGTTAATAAACATATTTTGATCAAATTTGGAAATAATACATTCATTTCTTACTAAACTAAACTAAAGATTTTACAACAAAAACACTTTTTTACCCTTCCTGTTGCAGCAATCCTAAGTACTTATTAAACTAATTCTATTTAAATAGAAATAAATGTGATATTTGTAAGAAGACACTTTAGTGTAAATCCAATCAGACAAATGGAAATTTGCTTAGTCTGCAGGTTTGCTGCGGCGGGGGTATTTAAAGCTTCTGGTTATTGACTATTTAAATGTTTAGTGTTTAACTGTGTCCAAAACACTCCGTGACATTTTGATGACAAAATGTAGGCCTATGTTTAAATTTATATTTTCAGGCTCCAATGGGGGGAAGGGTTTAGCCACTAAGTGATAGCCCCCCTCCTTGGAACCGCTACTGCTCCCATTAGGCCTACCTGATCTTGCTGGTTCGTGAACTCATTCATACCAAATTTAATCCAAATCGGATTACAATTGCTCAAGCTAACAGGTTCACTGACAAATAGCGTAAACTATAGGCTAAACTTATACATGTGTGGTACCTATGTATGTATATGTACAGTTACATAGGGCATTAACATTTATACAAAATGGAACATTAAAATCGTACAGGGTTTAGGTCTTATCTATGGTCCACCTACAGTTAAGCTACTTTCTCCCTATAGGGGGGAAATTCATGAAAACAAAATATAATAAATTAAGCATCCAGATAAACAATCAAAAGATTACTAGGACCCACATCCTAAGTAGGGTGAAACTTTGATATCCGACTCCATCAAAACATCAAACAATACCTATTAAGTTATTCTATCAAGTAACTAATCTTTAAACTAGATCCAAAACCTACACTTTTTAAGTTACCGTACCTAACTTTTGGATTGTAACGATCAATAATACAATGGGTGTGGATAGGCTAGATCAAAGTTTATCCATTTAGCCTACTTAAATAATTCCAAATATTGTTTCAGTACGGTAGGTAACTTAACTTATCCATGAAATGTTTTGATTTTAAAACCCTGAAACCATAGGGTATGATAGCCAATTGGCAGACAGACTATGCAGTTTTTAACCTTATGCAGTTTTTTCTGGGCAGGGGCAAATTAAAGAATTAGAAATTATCAGTTTAGACGGTTTTATTGATAATCTTAACTTAAGTTGGCAATACCTTCTAGAAGCAGAATTATCAAGTAGAACTGACTGAAACGCCACCCTTTGAATCTCTGTTTCTTTTCTGATTCGGTCCAGAGAAGCATTGAACTCTTCTTTTTGTCTTCTACAAGACATTTTCAATTCCCTGTTGTAGTGTAGTAGGACAAAAGATTTATCAGGTAGCCTTTAAGACAAATACAACTAACTTAAGTTAGGGTTAACCTTACCTAACTAACCAAACGATATATCGAACCATCGATATATCGATTGATATTTTCATTCGGTTGTTTGTGCCAACAGATATGGAAGTGTACCCACAACTAGGCTAGCCTAACTGTTATCCATAGAGATATTAGGATACAACCTCTCAGTAGTTTAAAGTTAAAAGTTTAAAGCCTTAACCATAAAATTGCAGGTTTTACATAGTAAAATACTACATTTAGTGTTAAATATTACACAGCAATTACTTCAAACAAATAACTTAATTTGGCCTAGGCCTAGGCTATTAGGTAACGTGCATCATATCATTGACTATATAACACTAGTGTTATATAGTCAATGATCATATTTATTCATTCCTAACCAACGCCTAAGTTAAGTTTACAGTAAACAATTAAAACATAACCTACAACTTCAACAACGCTTCCAAAATAATTATTCCAATTTCCAAGTTCGGAAGTTGAAAATAGACAACCAACTACCTAGTAGAATGGTAGAACTAACTGACAGTGACAGACAACTTGAACTTGAATATACAACCCAGCACAACACAACAATAACGATGAACAAAAAACTAAAAACTAAGCAACAATCAACAATGGTAAGGTTGGTAATGTAGTGGTAGTGGAATTGGAATGGAATAGTGAGTGGAATGAAATTGAAATGGGATGTAGTGTTGCCAACACAATAATAAGAATGCTTTAATACCATTTCATTGTTAATACTGAAGCGTGTTATTAAACTTAATATCATTGACTATATAACACTACATCATAATATAAATAGTGTTTTAAAGTCAATGGTAATATTCCCTAGATAGGAAGTTCGCTAAGACAAACCCTGCGTACTAAGAAAACTTCAAGTTGCCTTTTAGAACTTATAGAACAATCCGTTCAACAAATTACGCAACGACCCACGTTAAGAATATTGTTTTGGATCATTTTAGGTTAACTGGTGCACAAAACACGATAAAAAACGTAAAATTCCCTTTTAGTGCAGTAAAAATAAGCGAAAAATTCCATAAACCTAAAAAAGTTAGCACAAGCGGGGAATTAGGTAAAGATGTTGGGTGTACCGGTGTACCGGTGTACCTTCCTTTTGAACATACTAAAAGTCCCGTAAAATTGAAGCTGAGCTACGGCCGCCATATTGGAAAATAGCGGCATATATCCTGTATTTTTGGCTATAGTGATTTTATTATTAGAGATACAGGAAAAGGCTAAATATACAAAATGTAGTCCATCTAAAAATAAACATTTTTAGCGAATTTCCCCTATAGGGAATAAGCTATTACCGTAGTACTCATGGTGAGACCTGGACCCGGGACCGATTTATTTTTTCGTTTTGAGGTCCCTAGAGACCAAAAACACCATCCGTTCAAATTCATATATATATATTTAAAACATTCGCCAATTAGGTCTGATGATGATTGGAGTGTCCAATCGAAATCGATCACCACTTACCATCTTAATTTTTGTATTGTACCGTCTTGTGAGTAACAGTATGAGCGTAAATATACAGGGTGAATTTTAAATGAGTTCCCCCCCTACTTTTTTCTACATTTCTTAAGATATCATCTCCGGACCACGCCAGATCATTGTTAAGTAGTAAGTACTTCATTTTGACTGGGTATACATTTTTGGCCGCCATCTTGTATCCGCCATATTGGATACAAAGTTTTTTTTTCAAATGTAAAGGTAGGGTTGTGACCCATTATTTCAAACTAGAATTTTACGCTGATTGCAATGCCGCAATTAGTTTTTAAAAATCTTGATCCGTTCTAAAGTTATGAGGAATCTTTATAACTTTATTTTTAGCCCATTTTAACATTGTGCATTAACAAACTAAGCCCATAATCTCGAAATAGTGCTAGATAAAGATAAGTATACACCACCATTCATTGTTGTCATATTTTCACTTGGTTATGACGGATGTAGTTTTTTCAGCCGCCATCTTGGATCCGCCATTTTGAAATGTGATCAATTAATTTAAATATGAAGGTGGTGTTGTGACCCATCATTTTGAACTGCTTTTTTATGCTGAACTCAATGCCGCAATCCGTTTTTCATTTGCATCTTTGGATTTTGAAATATTGAAATTTTAAATAAGAGTATTTTATTATTTCATCAAGTAAGCTTGATAACCAAAAACGGATTGCGGCATTAAGTCCAGTATAAAAAAGTAGTTCAAAATGATGGGTCACAACACCACCTTCATATTTAAATTAATTGATCACATTTCAAAATGGCGGATCCAAGATGGCGGCTGAAAAAACTACATCCGTCATAACCAAGTGAAAATATGACAACAATGAATGGTGGTGTATACTTATCTTTATCTAGCACTATTTCGAGATTATGGTCTTAGTTTGTTAATGCACAATGTTAAAATGGGCTAAAAATAAAGTTATAAAGATTCCTCATTACTTTAGAACGGATCAAGATTTTTAAAAACTAATTGCGGCATTGTAATCAGCATAAAATTCTAGTTTGAAATAATGGGTCACAACCCTACCTTTACATTTGAAAAAAAAAACTTTGTATCCAATATGGGGGATCCAAGATGGCGGCCAAAAATGTATACCCAGTCAAAATGAAGTACTTACTACTCAACAATGATCTGGCGTGGTCCGGAGATGATATCTTAAGAAATGTAGAAAAAAGTAGGGGGGGAACTCATTTAAAATTCACCCTGTATGTTTTAAGTGTTATAAGACGTTTCTTTTATTTACTTTCCGTAAATTTAATAACACATACAATGCTGATCAAGAAGTTATTTATTTTATACAAAATGTTTGATATTTTACTAAAAAAACACACTATACTACCCTCGCTGTAGCAACAAATCTAGGTAGGCCTACCTGTCAAACCTAATTTTAATTGTATACATTTAATCAAACATACAACCAAATGAATATTTGTGGACTTGTTTTACTCATAAAATAAAGTTAAATTTTAATATTTTATAGTATCACACTATCTAACTAAATGGGATGAATTATCGCGTTAACCTTGAAAGTAACCGTAGTCATGATTTGAAATAGTGCCACAGTGTTTCTACAGAGTGCAGCACAGAAAACTATTTTACTTTTTAATAAGTCCAAATGCCCCAATCGCAGCACACCTGTGCACTTAACAACGTTTAAATTCTCCAATGTTAAATATTAAAACATAAAAACCTTTATCAAAGTATTATAAACAATAAAAGGGATGACTTTTTAAAATTTATGACAACAGCTAATTTGCAACCAAAAGGTGAGTGAGCGTAGCGAACGAACATCAACCTGGAGGCGAGTTAGCGTAGCGAACGAGCTTAACTGAAAACAAGTGAGCGCAGCGAACGAGCTCCAACCTAAAGGTGAGTGAGCGTAGCGAACGAACTTCAATCGGGACGTGATTGAGCCATGCGAATACTTAAGAAATTAAACGGGGCAAAGCTCGTGGGTACAGCTAGTTTTTGATAAATAGAAAACTTAATCACAAAAAACTCAAAAACCGTTGGATTTAGAGAAAGATATAAATACAAAAAATGTGTATTTTTAGATTGATTACAATTTGTATATTTAGCTTTTTCCTGTATCTCTAATAATAAAGTCACTTTAGCCAAAAATACAGATATGTGCCTCCATTTTCCAATATGGCGGCCGTAGCACAGCTTCAATTTTAGGGGACTTTTAATATTTTCAAAAGGAAGGTACACCCAACATTTGTAACAAATTCTTTGGTTGTGCTTTTTTTCAAGACATATTTTTATTGTACTGTTTGTAAAATATACAGTTTTCTGAATCTTTTAAGTTAATATCGTACAATCCTTGTATATTGGTTTTATGCATACATTATGTTTCTATGGTTACTAAAAACGTTTAAATTAATTCAATTAGGTATTCACTCTCAGAGTTAACTGAATTATGTTAAAAAATCATATTTGTACTATACATGTAGGCCTAGGTCTAATTGATTGTATGTAAACCAGCAGATCTGTCATTTCATTTCCTAGACAGCCTTCTCAATCAGGGAGGTACGTAATTGGAAGATGTTGAATTAGAAGACAAGGGACTGGAAACCGCAGAAAACCTGGCCTCACTAGATGATTGGTAAGCTACGTCAAATGTGGAGATAAACAGTAACGTAATCTTATTAGTACACGTTGGGGGATATAGCCACGTTGAGGGTATAGCCTAATTATGAAAAGGTACCAACTTACTTCCAATACTACTCGCTCACGGCTATTTAGCATCCGTATAGTCCGACCTCAAGCATTGCGCTGCGCTCTACGTCGCCCTGTTAACGTTTTTCTAGGGCTGGTTGCATAAAATGCGTCAACGCCGATTTTGGAATGTAGCGCGCCGCGTAGACTACGCTTGTATAGTCGCTCCAATTGACTTGCATTGCCATTCAAAACGTAAAATAGAACACCGTATTTTACGCAACGCATTTAGCGTTACGTATAGTATGAGCCAACGCGGTCCTACCAAACGGCATTAGCGTATACAGACCAAGTTGTATGGATGCGGACTAGCTCCTAAGAACCCCATTGCCTGGGTTGAGTGGTATTAAAGTGACAGCATTAACGCGGTGGTATATACTTTTGGTTGGTTAAAACAGTTTCAGAATAAATTAAATACTTAGAAACAAATATGGTAAACTATAAACCGAATTATATACAAACCAGAAGGAAGTAACATTAAAAGTAAATCTATAAGAGGAAGCTCATTTCAATCAAATCAAAATGGCTGTTGGGAACTTTTGCCATGATTATCAAGTATTTTTATGCATGGCTCATTTTGGTTTCCATGGATTTGGTAATATTCCGTAAACATTCTAGGCGAACAGAAAATTGAGTCCTCCAGTTGAAAACGTATATATACGTAATTTCCCATTACTCACAGCGTATTTATTATTCTCTATACGGTCTTCAGTTTTGGAACCGGCGAGCGGAGAAACTGATGATTCCAAAAACGACCAAAACTGAAGGAAGTTTGTGCAAGTCCAGTAACAAGCTCAAATCTGTATCGAGCTACGTCACGTGCGTGGATGAACGGTAAAGTAAACGTGGAACCAAGTACTATTTATTTTTATTATATTTCCAGACTATATGGCATTCAAGGCATATTTAATTTTAATATACGAAACATTATATTATTCAACATTGCTTCAAGGAACATGACGTAATAAAGGTTTACTTACCTTATCAGTTAGTTTTCACAAAAATAACGGTTTATATTTTATAAGCAGAAAAAGGTTTATAAACTGTTTTAGAAGGTTTGGTGATGTAGGCCTATGTGTTGGATAAAATAGTATGTAAAATATATTTAAGATGTAAAGTAGGATTACAGTATTGGCGAGCTCAGTAATCGCATGGACCTTGTTATGTGCCGTTAATATGACCATGAAAACATAGTGCAAGCAACATTCTCTCTGTGTCAAATAATTCTCAAA